TTCTATCATGCCGAAAAGTACAAGCGCGAAGAATCACGCACAAGGAAACAAAAATCATGAAAAACGACTAAGTATAACCAGAGATACGGCCATTTTAACCACTAGACACATAAAAAGGCAGTCACACATCACAACTACAAGCCATCACAGCACAAACATAAAAAACACCACGGCACGCTCACATACAACAAGAGACAGCGTCGGGTTGAAAAGGCAACCGACCACAGAAAGAAAAGTCATCATACAAAGGACTTTACAAAAATTCAGCAAAAATACCACACAAATACAGTAAAAATCAAAGTAAAATTAAAACAAAAATACAAGTCAAGCCATCAAAAGATCACAACGAGAACCACCTAGGGAGCAACAGGTGCACACAGGGATCCCCACAGAGGGACCCCCGAGACGGTGCCTACCTACGACGAGCGCAGGCAGACACCGCCAAAGTGGCGCTGGATGTGGTCAGCGTTCATCTGATGGACCAGCGCCGCAAAGCGACCTTTCCACCGAGGAACAAAGGCCTCATCCAGCCCCGGCTGGTACACACCACGGGCCTCGGCGCAGCGGGCGAGCTGACCAAGCAGATCCACAACAAGAGGGGCTCAGACGCATGCAGGGCTTGGTTGACACATAGAGGCCAAAACTTTCGATTATCGTGGATTAAATGCAGACTGAAGGCGATCAAATGAAAGGCAAAACGCGTGGTAGTTTATACTTTGAGGTCAAGTGCGCTTGTTCACGGCAGCCATTTGATACATGCGAGTGTTCGCTATGACAGCATCTGTATTTCCGAGGACAGGATGCTGGGCTTGTGTGGGTAGTGTGAAGACTTCATCTGTGTGTGCTCGCCAAACCAATACCGACGCAGCCTGGGTCGACGCGATGTGAGTGGATGCAGTCGTGTGGCAATCGGCAGGCGAATCAATAGCAATGTAACTGACACTGGCGTTGATGTCATCATGCATGGGAACGGGCGGCACATCCTCGCATGATGCTCGTGGCGAGGCTGGGACTACCACTGGAATTTTAGGTTCGGCAGGAACCTTTGCCGGTGTCAGTTCATAGGCCCAGGAGCTGTCATCTACAGATCCACAAGGGACATGGCGTTTTGAATCAACTTGCACGAAAGCAGGGAGAAACCACGGGTAGATGTGATTCATCAGCAACGGACGGATGCGAACGGACCAGGCTGAAGTGAGACTGGGGGCTTTGGCTCGGGGCGTGAGGTGGCAGGGGGAAGAAGAAAGGTGTGAGGCGATGATGCCCCATGAGGAGCAGGGGCAGTCTTTCTAGTCGCTTTGTGAGTGCTTCTTGCTAGATCCTTGGATGATGCGGCACCGATAGGTAGAATCGGAGGTTTTGAGTTGAGGCTTGATGTAGGCAGGGCAGTGTTGGATGTTTCTAGCAGATGCCGTATTCTTGTATTTGCAGCAGCCAGCTGCCTTTTGGTTGAAGTCAACTATAGAAGGAACAATGTGGGTGAGGATGGGGTCCGAGTCCAACTCGAGGCGCTCTACAAAAACAACCAAACAAGAGTGCACCGTAACTTTGCAAAAGCACAAATGACTAAGGTGAATCCCACCTCTTCTTTGACGCGGGAGTATTCCGAGCGCATAGTTTCGATGTGGGAAGCCACCGTGCTTTGCAGATCGACACTGGGCCATTGTGCCTTGAGATCTTCAACTGTACAGACAAATCGTGCATGAGCATGAAAATGCACGCGAGAAGCAGCTCTTGCCATCGTTTAGGGCCTGCCTTCAACAGCATTATTGAATTATGCGTTCGCCAAGGTCACACCTTGCTCTTGCATCTGGTCCTTCTCTTGCTGAGCATCGCGCAGCTGGGCTTCCAGCTCTTTGGTGCGCTCATCATGCCGTCGTAAAGAGTCGAGGAAGCTGTCTTGCTGATGCTCCAGCGCTGCACCCATGGCACGCTTAAAGCTTCGAAACAGTCACATGCGCAGGTACATGAGTAAAACGCAGGCAGGTACGTCGGGCAGAGGGAACGATGAACACTTATTGAGCCTTTTGGGGCACAACAAGTCAGCAGACGAACAGGATAAGCAGGCTCAGCTGGCACTCGAGAAGATGGCGATGTCGCGCATAAACATTCTGTAGGGCTCAAATAGAAAGCAAAAGCGTGGTGATGGGGTGAGAGGCGCGGTAGAATTTGAGCGATCTAGTTCAACGGGAGTGTTTATACCTGTGCGTGATGATCAGGTATGTTGGGCGGAACGTAGCGAAGTAAATCATCGGCTTGATCTTGGCACGATGACTGCAGTAGCATTTCAACAACGTCATACTGTGGACGGGCATTTAGTTTGGTTGGAAAAGGAGATGACGATGGGGTGAGCGCTCGTGCATGAGGCATGTGCTGGTGAGGGCAAGCAGGAATAGTGCTTGCAGTTGAGCTTGATGATTGAGGGGTGGTAAGCCTGTTACGCGTGGAATTCTCCCAGTTTGGTGAGTGCACACACCTGGAAGGAGCGCAAAATCTGCTCATGGCGGTCTACCAAGCCCAGCAATTCAACGGGGTGGTTGCCCAGGGTGGGGATGTTTGGTGCTTGATTCATCACCTCAAGACTAGGAGGCCCCAGCACTGGGGCATTGGTTGTGCGTTCTGGAACCAGCCGCGGGGCCGAGACAAGGCGCGTGCTGCTGTTGCCATGATGCTGTGTGCGTCGAAACCGCGGGAGTGCATATTTTCGATAGGCGCCATTTGGATCGTCTGGGTCTGGCTCACCGTGAGCCGTGCCACACACGGCACAAATAACCTCGGCACCATCATCGAGCGGCGGTAAGTTGCTCATGGCAGGTGGTGTGGTATGTCAGTCACTCGCTTTTTGCCTTGAAACATTGACACTGCCGGTGTACGCAACCTGATTCTTTGAAGGTTCTTGTTCACACTCGTCAAAGACCTCAAAGGCAGCCTTTTACCCTGTTGCCCCCGACGCTAGCAAGCTTGAGCTCCTGCAACTGGCGCTGCCATGCGCCCCCCTAAAAAAAAAAAAAAACAGAGAGAGGGAGGGAGAGAGATTGACGTCGTTAAGGTCTTTTCTTTTTCTCCTCTTGAATGTCAGATAAAATGAACAGAGAGAGAGAGAGAGAGATGAATTGGTTTGTCTGAGAAAGAGAAAGGAAAAGCACAACTACCACATGTAACAACAACAGGGAACAAAAGGAACAAAAGGAACAAGAGAGAGAGAGAGAGAGAGAGAGAGAGAGAGAGAGAGAGAGAGAGAGAGAGAGAGAGAGAGAGAGAGAGAGAGA